GATTAAATAATCAACAATTTAAGGAGTTGATGGAGTTTAGAGAAAGTTACGAAAGGGACTTCGTAATTTAGCAAGGGGGAAACTGTTACCATGGATTTTCTCCACTTTCATAATTTCTTATTATTTTATTTTATTTTATTTGTATTTATTTTATTAGTATAGTTATTTTAGTATATTTAGTATATTTAGTTATTAATATTTATTTATCTAGTAGTGTAATACAAATTATGTAAATCAATAATGTAGATCATAGTGGTCCAGTTACTGGCCAATTTACTGATCAATTTAGTGACCAACTGATTGATCAACTTAGTGGCCAACTGATTGGCACAATTACTAACCAAGATTTTGTCCAACTTACTGATCAACTTACTGGCCAAATTCAATATTATAAAAAGGGTGAGTTTTCTCTCCACCCCAAGGGAGATTTAGATAATTTTCAAATAAGATTCGAATAATTCTAAATAGTGAAATTTAGAAAGTAATTTCAACTGTAATTTTTATAATCCTAAAGTAATAAACTTATATCTTTTATATTAAAACTTTGTTCTTTTATTAATTTATATTCTTTGAATATAAATTCTGATCCATAAATTTCTGTTACTATTTCATAAACCATTGATAAATATATTTAATTCTTTACTTTCATTTCTTAAATCGATCTTTAAAATTTAATCATTGATTAATATTTAAATCCCGTGACCCTAAATTCTTAAGTCCTTTAATTAGTTTTTTTTTAGTATTTAACTTAGTATATCTTTTATTTTTCTTCTATTATCCTTTTCAATTCGTAAACCAAAGTAACTGTTTACGAGTTGCTAGTTATAAATTGCCTTTTGGAAAATAAAATTAGTTCAAAAGGTCAGCTAGTAATACCGATATATATATAAAATATTTTTTACACCTATTAGGTACCTGATATATGCCCAATATTAGGGACGTACCATGCACATATCGGGTACTCGATATGTGTATTATTTATCAATTTTCGACTAGTGTTATATACATAATTGAAGTTATAATAGATTATACTATAGACTACACTAATGTATACACTATTAATTATGCTGATATATACACTATTAACTATACTTTCTACTATGCTATCTATTACACTATACATTTCACTATTGAATACACTCAAATCTACAGTTGTAATACTTAATAGTTGTACCAATTTCTAAATAATTTAGATTAATAATTTCTTATATAATATATATTAATAAAAATATGAAATTAATTAAACCAATAAATACATGATGTTAAATAATAATATAATAAATAAGATAAAAATATAATAATAAATAAAATTTGATTACTAGGGTTAACACTATTATTTAAGAAGTATACTAAACTGCCATGTGTCCTAAGATATAGTACATTAAATTTCTTAAAAGAACTAATATAAAGAGCAAAGGGAACCAAGTAAATTTTTACCTTTAACACTGTCTCCTACATATTAACAATAACTCTAATATTAAAGAAACAGTCTTTAACTTTTAAATTATAGGTTTTTACAAGTTTGTAACCTTTAACTTTATATCTATTAAAATATTGTTCTTTGAATATTAATCACAATATTCAGAAAATTAGCACTCCTGAAACTGCATTAAAAATAGTACAAACACAATCTTTATTAAAAAGGAAATTAATATGTGATTACACAATTAATTATCATAGTACAACTCCCATCATTTTTTGGTGTAACTTTCTTAAATAAAAATTGGCTAAATTTGTCACATGACAATCTCATTATTTTCCGCCACTACTGCAAACCGCAAAGACTAATGGTTCTTCTAATAAAAGCGCTTCAATCTTAGATATTAAATGAGCCATATTGAAATATTCGTTTAATAGTAAAAAATAATTTTTAGCTTTGTTGTAATACTAGAAATACGCAATAAAAATGTAAACAAGATATATAGGAAATAATCACTAAAAACGACGTGTAACAGAATGTCATAATAAATCCCTTTTAAACAGTCTTCGAAAGAAGGAATTTGAATTTGATCATCATTACCGTTTAAGGATAGTTAGATAAAGTCTAATCTTGCAGAAAAAACAATTAATGGTTACAATGTATAATCTTGCAGAAAAAAACAATTGATGTTATAATTGGATAGTTTGTCATTATAAAATTATCTATCTCCGTGAGTGTAAAAATTTTCTAATTAATTTTTTGAAATAAATAAATTTAAATTTTATTATTCTATTTCTTCATAAATGACACGATCAAGTACAAATTTGGTAGTTTTACTAATAGCGTGGACGATTATTTTTTCTTTGGTCCCTTTGGTATCTGGTATTTTTACATACAATGAATCAAAACCATCCTTCACAAAGCCAACCATATGGAATTACTTTACATACGATGACGGAACAGTAGTTATTCATATTTTGAGTGTAAATCCTTATCATGATTTAGGTCTGAATGTTACAAAGTGTTATAATTCAACATTATCCTTGCGCGTTATTTATCCCAATGGAACAGTCGGAGAAATAGACAGTGACCTTGGGGGAATTCAGGATTTTAACTGGTGTCTTACAAAGTATGGTAGTTATTCTATACGAAATCCTATCCGCGTTACAAACCTTCATTCGGGTTATGCAGTTGTTACATACATAAACGCTTCAGATCCAAACGATTATTTAACTTATAAAGAATGGGGATTAATTATGGGTTTGGATGGCAAGATACATGAGTAAATGTTTTTCAATACAACATTTAATTATTTTAACAATTTTAATTATTGTAACTTATAGTTTTACTTTTTCAAAAATTTTAAAATATGAAGTCGTGCATATCTCGGTTTGCCATATTTAGATCTAAAAAAAGGCTTTTGGCGTCGTTCTTCGATAGTGGAAAACGTTAATCCTGAAAGGGGTTTTTTTAGAGTATCTTGGAAAGATCTTATTTATGAATGGCAACAATATATAATGTGAGTTTTTATTTCATACAATTTCGCTTACATTATAAAATTTTAAATTTTTATTTATTTAATTTTTTTATAGAGATGATAATAACAATTTTAAGATGTTTTTAAATGGAAGTTTTAAAAAGATAGATAATTTTGATGTACATTTAATTATTTCTAACGTCGACGAGGGCTATAATATAATTATGCAAAATAAAACCACTGATTTAACACCAACCAAAGATCCTTTTACAGTTCGTGCTGGGGCTTATGTACTTTTGAAGAAATACGATGATACACAATTCAGTCCACCAATATTACTTTATCAATTAACGCGAGATGATTTTAATTTATCTTATTTGGAATGCGAAATTTCAAATGTTAAAGTTGGACAAGTTTGTAGAATTGCCCTTGATGATTCCAACTCCACATATTATTCAAAATTTTATTATTTATCTACCGGTTCTATTGTAGAATTTTCCCCAATAACATTACCCGATATACCTGAAAAGAATTTTACTTTTTTGGATTTTAATTCTTTCGTATTTTATAGTATTCCACTTGGTGGATATTTTTATCCGAGCTTTTTATTTAATGAATCTAGCAATATTACTTATACGTATGGATATATTTTTGATTCAAATGCTAACAATCCTACCAATTGGAGTCTTCCCGAACCATCAGTTATAGATTCGATGGGAACATTTATAATCTTGCCTAATAATACCATGTTACTTGCACAACCGGAATTGATTGATTCATGGAGTTTTATCTCCATAGATCTTCCTAAATTTACTGAAGACCATGGATATTTAAATACTTTTATTAATACGACGTATCCTCAAATAGATTCGGTCATTCCAACTTCAACAGAAAAAATTACAATTACATTTTATCAACCAGTAGAATTTTCAGCTGGAAATATTTCAATATATCAAGTTGAGAATAATGTTGACATTCTTCGACAATATGTTAGCGGCTTGAGAAATAGTGATTATTGTACTATCTCTGATAATGGATTAATCATAACTATAAAAGTTATAAAAAGTACCTTTAGTAAGCCTCTCGGTAAATTTTATATTAAATTTGATGGTAACTTTGTAAGAGACAAAACATATAAAGAATCTTTGAGGGGTTTATATACAAATATTTGGCAATTCAGTACATGTAAGTATATTATTCTATTCTTACAATCATCTATTTTTATATATGTCATTAATTTAAATATTGAAAATTTTATCTCTTTACGTTTCGATATTTTTTAGCGAAAAATCTGGAACAATTTGCAGGTAATCTTTACTTAGAAATTAACATTAATTAATTAGATTCATTATTAAATTAATAATTTTCAAAATGAATAGACTCGGCAACTGGATTAATGCGTTTAACTACGGAAGGCACTCAACATTATGAAAATCTTACTTCAACTGAAAAACATCAATTCTTTTTAAATCTCCAAAATGAATTATCTAAAATTATTCCTATTAATATTGATAAACTAAGTTCAACCGAAAAAACTCAAGTTGATAATACTAATGGTCGTCGTCAACTAATTATTTCTATTGATATTAAATCATCTAAAGATGAAAGAAGTGTTGATGCTATTGTAAAAGATTTAGATGAAATGATTAAATATAAAAGCATGACTCTCATTAGTTTAAATCCTACCACAATATTTTTAGATGAAAATTATGGATTTGCGACAACACGTAAGTTTATTTTGAATTTATTAACTTATATAAATAATAATATATTAATGAATAATTTATTTTTTTTTTTTTCATTAGCAAATCTCTGGGAAAAATACAAGTTTAAACTTTTGGGTCTTTTCCTTGCAATAATATTTTTAATAATTATTTTCTTTATTGCACAAAGAAGAGAAAAAAAGGTAAAATAACTTATATTATTTAAATAGATATTTAATATTATGAAAGTGAAAATTTGTATGCATTGACATTATTTAAATTTTTTAAAGGCTAATAATACGGCTATTTTACAACTTGGATTAATTATTTTTGATTTGGCATTGGATATTCTTTTTGTCGTTTTTAATGGTAAAATTGTTGAAGAACTCTATATTCCAAGGTAAATTCATTTCTGTTTGTTTTGTTAAATTTTTAAAAATTTAATATAAATTGTTTTTTTTTTTTTTATGTATACACAAATAGTATCGTATTCTTGGTTGTTCCAATTACTCTCAACACCATTTGGGCATTTTATATTATTAAAGCTGAAAACGCATCTCCTGAATTTTTAGGATGGTTTAATCAAAATATAAAAACAGCATCAATATTTACAATCTTATCAGGTGCTGATATTGAAGCATTAAGTATTCTCTATTCAAATTTTGCTGGATTCGCCCATTTCCAAGCACCTTTTTCTCATAAAGGAAAAGTTAGAATTTTTCGAGCTTCTTTCTTAGCCGTTTTCACTGAAAATATACCACAAGTGGTTATACAGGTCAGAATCAAATTCTTTTCTTTTTTATTTGTTTCGTTTATTTATTTATCTGTTTTTTTTTTTTTTTAATTCTAAAATTTTTTTTCAATAATTATAGATAATATACCATTTCCTTGTGATTTCATATGACATTGTTCCTCTTCTTACACTCATTTCTTCATGCCTTAGTTTGACCATTAATCTTATTGGCAGAATATACCAAGCAATAAGTTATTCTCGTTTCCATCATGAATCTTCGGAAAATAATACAAATAAAAACAAAAATAAAGAGGAAGTCGAAGACGACAAATCGACCCAAGATTTCTCTAATATTAATTTTATACCGGAAATACCAATAACACTTGCAAATGTTTCACAATAAATATAGTTAAACTATAAAACCAGAATTCCTCAAAAATTAAAATTTTATTGGAGTATATTTATATTATATCTTTATTCATTTTTTAACATAAATTATTCGTTATAACAAAAATTTGTTAGGATAATAAAAGTATAATTAATAATTTTTGTATTGATATAACTAATTGCTACCTTAATATTGACTACTATATATCTAATGACTTAAAATGAGTTAAAAATAAATGAATGTATAAAAATTAATAAGTGAATTGAATAAAGTGAAATGAATGTTATATTTTAATAGATTAGAATAAATTTCAATTTTGTTACTCGAATAAATTCTACTCAAGAATTCATTACTTTTTTATGCAGCAAAGTTGTTTGGCATAAATAACATTGAAACGTCATTCCCGTTATTTAAAATATCAAATAAATTAATGCAGTCGCGGAAATAAATTTATTAGATTCAAAATAATTTTTGATTGATTGTCATATTTATTCCTATGGAGTCATATGAGAAAATATAAAAAAATTTTTCAAAAAATTAATTAAAATTTCTAACGGAGTACACTTAAATAATTCTATAATATAAAGATTACTTGGGACGTATCCTTCCTGAAGCTTCTACAAAGGCATTGTTGTATAAATTGTAAACATTATTTTACCATTTAATTTATAGTTGTGGAAAAGGATGTATAAATTATTTGTGGGTTTTTAATGAAAACGATCTTTTTATTTCTGGTAATTGTCAATTTTCATATAAAGCTTTAAAAGAGTATCCATCTCTGTATTATCAATTATCAGATAAAATTATAAGACCTAGATACATATGCTATCAGGAGAATAGTGGTCATGTGTTCGTGGAAAAGGAAAAAAATTGTTGCAAGACGGATTGCACAAAAATGATACTCCGTGGTTATCACAAATTTCGAAATTAAAAGATAAATGTAAATGAAATAAAGAAAAAGAAATAGGTTAAAATATTTTTTGATAATTTATTTACAAAAACAAATAAAAAAAATTAGGTTCAAAATTGTGGAGCTTACGTGATAAAATAAAGAAATGAAAAAAAAACTTGCAATTTCCTACGCGTTTCCGAAATTTTTGTCGCGTTACACGAAATTTTTAATTAATGCGAAGATAATGATGATAATTAATATATTATTTTCTGTTGGATAATTTAAATGCTTTAAATAGATGTACCTTATCATAACAAAGAGAAAAAAAATGAACTTATATACTTTATAAATTACTTAATAAATTACTGTATAAATAATAATATTTTATTCACCATTTTGATTTGTAAAGGTTTTCTAAATTCAATTCTAATTACAGAGAATGATTTGACACTGGTTTTTCATTCTTTATTATATTATATTATCGATTTTAATCTCTGTTCCCTATCCAGTGATTGTTGCTGGGAGGCGGGAAAATTATTTATCGGATGTAAATACGTAGTCTATCTAAGAATTCCATCGATTTTCATCGATTTTTATTGATAGTCGATTATTGTTTTCTGATTTATAATTACGATGACCTTTTTTTGAATATTTTTCTAGAGGAATGGCTTCAAGGTGTCCTTTAGGGAAGATAAAAATTGGAACCTCTTCAAGAGAATAATAATCCTTTCGTAATATATCCTTTTTTCCAACTCTGGAATCATTATTTTTAAAATTTCGAGTTTTATGTTTCGTTTTCTACTTACTTACTTTGATGTTATAGTGTTTGTTTTTTTTTGTCTTCTTTTTTTTTCGGTATTTTTCACATAAAATTTTTTGAAACTTTTATCAACTTGATCAATTATTTTCTTTTCACTTTAAAAGAAAAGTACATTGTATAAAAGTTTACCGCGAAACAATCTTTGTGCAAATTTTTTAATCTATATGGTTATCTTTTTTACATTGTCTTCTCTACTTTTCTATGTTATGCATATTTCATTTTTATTTTTCCAAATACATTTTTTTTTAAAAAAATGGAAATAGAATATGCGGATAAAATTTAAAGATTATATCTTTTTTGTTTTCTGGGAACCTGATTTGCACTTCTTTTTGTTATTATATATTACATTGTTTTTTATCCCTTTTGCATCTCTTTGCATCATATTATCTTCCTTTTTTGATTTGTATTCAATTAATTTAATTTATTTCTGTTTCTTCATTTTGTTTCGTGTGATGCATGAAGCATAAACGATATAAACAACAACACTAATCATAAAAGTAAAAGATAATATCCCATGTTCTGGTCTTTCATCATGTTTATGAAAAATGATGTGTGCTAAATAAAATTTAGACTATTCCATATTTTGAATATGTATTTGGGTTTCTTTTGTTGAGAACTTTTCCAATGTTTCGATTTCAAACATGTTTTCAATTAATTCACTCCACCAATATATTCATTAATCATCATCTATAGATGAAAAAGACAATTTGTTGTCTTTTTTGAAGTTCCATTTCATCAAAAAAGAATAGATCAAGATCATTTTTTCGTTGTTTTTTTTTTTAAATTTATATATAATTTCAATTATAAGTTTTTTGAATCTGGATATTTTTTTATGTCTTTTTATTCATTCAATTCCTATCAGTGAGATGCATTGTATCAAGTGGTAAATTATAATTAAATCTAACTTAATTTTTTGGTTAATTCTTTAAAAAGGAGGTAATATTAAATGGTTGGTGATAATGATGGTATAATTTTATATGGTCTAGCCAAACCATTTGGAAAATATTGATTTTGGTTTTTTTGTTTTTAGTTAATCTGGATATCTTTATAGTATTTGTTTGTTCTATTCTTTTTTTTAATTGAATTCTCATACTATTTTATTTTTTTCTATTATTTTTTCTGATTCATCTATATTTTCTATGATTTTGTTGTTGATTTTCTTTAATTATCAAACAACAACAATAGATAAAACTCTATTTTTTTTAAAAGAAAAAATTGCTTTATATATAATGCTTGGCATTTTTTACTTTTTTTTTAAAGTGCCATTTGATCTAAATCTTGATTTTTTTTTAAAAAAGAATATTTCATTATATTAGATATTATAAAAAATTATAAAAGGGAAGTAGAGAAAAGTATATAATTCCTGCCAGTCAATCCTCGAATTTTTTTACTTCACAATAATTTATATAAAATGTTTAATTTAATTATTTGTTCATTTCTGTATTTGGAGTCTTTCTTTCAATACATTACATTCTTTATATTGTCATGGAGGATGGTGTCATCTTGGTGTTTCTTCTGGTAAAATATGTTTATACCTTGTGAATCTGTTATTATTATCGTTATCCATGACATTTCTGTGAATTATTATTATTTTAAATGGTCAAATATTTTTTATAGATCAATTATTATCATTACATATACATTTCCTAACATTTCTGGGAATATCATTTAAAATGGCCAAATTTTTTCTATTGTTCTGGAAATTCTATAACAAATTTATTAATTTGATAAAAATCATGATGATAAAGAATTAATCAAGATTTAATTAATTTATTTGTATATTTTGTTATTGGTGAAGTATGTGAAGATTATTCAATTAATTTCCATACTTTTTTTTCTTCACTTTTTTAATTTCTTTCTCTTTAATTTCTTTCTGTACTATCCTTTTTTTTTATCCTTTTTTTTATCCTTTATTATTGGTCTTGCTTTCTTCTATTTGGTGGTCTTATTTCTACAATTTTTATTTGAGGGTATTTGTGTTGTATAAGATATTTTAAGTTGTATTTAATTCCCTTTTTTTTTAATGATATTATTAAAAGTCAACAATATTCTTAAATTTTGAATTTCTTCACCATGTTTTGGTAGTATCCTTTCTATAGATTATTTTTGATATTTTTCTATAAGGTTTATTTTATCTTTATTTACATTTTGTTTCTCCAGAAATTATAGAAATTATAGAAGTTATAGAAATTGGAAGTTATAGAAATTGGAAATTATAGAAATTATAGAAATTATAGAAACAATTGATTAGATTGATTTGAGTGATCTGATCGAGAATATGTATTAATACTTTAAATAATGTTAAAATGATTGTTTTGTTTTGATAATGTTAAATGAAATCATGTACAATGTGGAATATTATAGTATGGTGAATAACTATTAACATGATCGTATATATATATATTAATGGAAATAAAATATTTCCTATAAAAGTTTGATTATATTCAAAGAATTTTGTGCATTTTCTGCTAATTCTATAATATTAATATGTATCCCAAGCTGCTATATTTTCATTATTATTTGGTAATCATAACTTTGTCGATGCACAAAATTATAATAATAATAATATAAACAAAACTTCTAATTTTTTTAAAGGATTTCTAGTTCTTTATTTTAAACTTTATTTCCTTTGTTTTTTTGTTTATTTTTGACGTAATGTTTTTGTTTTGATTGTTGTTAATAATAAATTTTAAAATTTAAAATTTTATTCTTAAAAAGGTAAATTATCCCTCCTTTTTAATAGCGCTTAATTTAATTTATTTAATTAATTTAATTTAATTTTAATATAATTTGATTTAATTTAATTTTAATTTAATTATTAATTTTAAACTTTTTTACTAAATATATTTTAATTATTGTTGTATTATCGTTAAAGTTTGGATCACCTGAAAAATATGTAAATACAAAAATATATGTAAATATATATTTATAAATCATATTGTATGTTAGAAAGGATTTTTTGATAACTATGGTGATTGTTGATTACTTCGCTTGGCACTGTTATAATTAAGTATAAAATTTTTTTTTCTTTTTGAACTGAGAGTGTGAAATCCATAAAATATATATATATATATAATATACAAATATTTTTATAAAATTCCATATTTTTCTATGAAAAATGATATTATATGGATTTTGGTTATATTGTATATTAAATTTTTCCAAATTGTATTGTAGTTTTGTTTCCTTTCTCCTAGAAATTATAAAATTTTTTTAGATCTATGAGTTTTATCTTTTTTAACATATTTTTAAAATTGAACATTAATATCTATTATATATTATTGATTGTTTGTTTCAGTCAGTTACTTTAATTATTTCCATCTGATATTAATATTTATCAACTATATTAATATTATTTATTATCCATTTAATTACTATCCGTGTAATTACTATCCATGTAATTCCTTGTTAATCCTAATCTATCATTCATATTAATATAAAAAAATTAATTGTGGATAAGAAAGAGAAAGAATTAAATTAAGAATTAAATGAAGAATTGGATGAAGTAAATATATTTATCATATTTATCATTATTATTATATTTATCATAATTATTATTCATCAATTTATTTATTATTAATTCTATTTGTTATATTTGTTATATTTGTTATATTTGTTATTAAATTATTCTCCAAATATAAATATAATGGCTACTGTTTCTTTTGTCAACAGCAGCAGCAGAAAATATATATATATATATATAAATTATATAGGAATAAACAATTATAAAAGTAGAAAAAGAAGATATAAAAATGAATAATAAAGAATGAATGAAAAAAATTAGTTATGATGTAATTAATTATATTATTTTTATATATAATATATACAATGTAATATGAAAATTCAGAATTTATTCTCTTTTTTTTTTGATCTAAATATGATTCATTATTTTCGCTTCCCTCAAATTTATATACATATATACTGTATGTTCATTCCAATTTTGATGATAATAAAAATCAAAAAAAAATTATATTGAGATTTTAAAGGGAACGAGAATCAATATATTAAATTAAATGAATATGGATCAATAGAATGAATTGATTTAAAGAAACTACAAATATGAACTAAGGTACATTAATGTTTATATTTTATATATACTTTTATAAACTTTTATAAACCGAATAAAATTATATTATATAATATAAATTATATGATGTAATAAATTTTATAGTAAATTAAATATAAAGAATCAACCTTTACTTTCATTTGACTATATATGATAAATTTTGTTGATATATACACCAGAAATCCCACTGGTTCTTTGTATCACTATATTATTTGTTGTATTTATCAATATTTCATGGTCTATAACTATTTTTAATTTTTTTAATTGCAAAATTCACAACTATTATTTTTGATTGCAAAATTTGTTGTTTGGGGAAGAGAATTACTATAGTGGAATTTTTAAATTGGCTAGATTTACTTAATTTCTTAAAAAAATTATTGTTTATTGAGTTTGGATTTTTGGCTCACTATAAACGAAAGCCGGAAGTGCGATATCATTGTCTATTCTCACCCAAAATAATAAAATCTTGATTAATTATTACTAAAAAAAAAAATATTCAAAGACATCTTCATTATTTTTTTATTATGTAATCTTTGAATATTTAAAATAAAATGTATTAAGGTCAAGAAAGAAGCCATTTGGAACTTGTGTATGGAAAAGTAGGAAATAAAATAAAATAAATATTTTGTGAAGGATCAAAAGAAAAAGAAATGGGCATTGCAGGAGTTATTAAAGCACAAAGTTATAAGTTTGTAATTAAATAAATTTAATAGAATTGACGATAAAAAGACATCAAAATATTATAATATAGAAGGTGATCGTTTGGGTGTTAATGGAATTTTTTTGTGTTCTCTCTCTCTTGTTTGTTCACATGAAAGTATATTTTTATAAAATAAACTGAAGATTGCAATTATTTCAATTAAAGTTTTATCATTATTATGGTTATGATATATATCTTAAATATATGGATATCATAAGTGTTTTTTCTTGTACTATAGTAGAGTAGTAAAGAATGGAATAATCTCAATTATTTCTAATGTATTTTTGTTGTTTAAACATAACTTTTAAATATGTATTTGTGTTTTTGGAAAATTATTTTTTCTTTTTTTAATTAATTCTTAATCTAATAGAAGAATAACTTCAATTTCATACTAATTTCACCTAACAATATGATATGAATTTCTTTGAAAAATGTATTCATCATTCTTCTTTTTTCGTGGTAGTAATAGAAGAGGATTTTGGAATTCAAGTAATTAAAGAATTAAAAAAAAAAAAAGAAGAAACTATCGGTTTTTTCACTATGCCTCTACTTTAATCATTTCTAGTTTAAATGGTTTCATAAATAAATATCTGCAAATTGTATCTTTTATAATTTTATAATTAAATTATTATTTTTGTCATTATTGAATTTGTAATTGGGTTGTGCCATTGCTATCCAGTAATTGTGGTAATCAAAAAATTTATTTATAATTCATTATAACCACAAAGAAAAAGAGAAAGATAAAATGAAATTATAAAAGATAAATTATTTTTGAACTAATCATATTAAAAATTAATTAATTAACAAGTTTATTAAAAATTTATTAAATTTATTAAATTTATTAAATTTATTATTTAGTTAAAATTAAAAAAAAAATTTCGAGAGGAAATTCAATGAGAATTGAAAGAGTAGGGTTTATAAATAAATAAAAAAATTCGAGAGGAAATTCAATGAGAATCGAAAGGGTTTATATAATTTTTCAAAGTCAGTCGCGTAATATGTGTTCTTGATGTTATTTTGGTGTTTTGTTGTCATCTTCGATCATCTTCCAGAATAATTTTTACGTGTCAATCAACAATCAACAAAATAATTTTTATTTGTAATTTATCTGTGTTTATGAATTTTATGAATTTTATGAATTTTGCCTAAATTGGTGTTGTCAGTTGTTATTATTAATTGCTTCTTGTTGTTGTTGATGTCTGTTGTTTTTTGGTGTTAGTGTTGGGTGTTGGTGTTGGTATGTGATGATTAATTAATTTCATTTATTTTTACATAGTTATGACGTACCACCAAATATTTTCTTTTTTTTGAATGATGCACGAATGATATAAATTTAAAAATTTTAATTAGTTGATTGCTTCCATATGTCAATTATATGACTTCTTTAATGAAAGAATATTGTATAAAGTGAAGTGATGGATGGAATGGTGGAGTGGATGGAATAGAATAGATGGAATGAAGAAGTGAATGAGAAAAAGATTTATTGATATCAGATCAGAATTATATTATTATTTATCGTTATACAAATTAAAATCAGATATTATTAAATTTTATAACAAATAAAGAAATATAAATTAAATATTTATTATTTAAGAAAAAAAAATTTGTACTTTTTATTTGACATTTTCGAGCCAAGCAAGCAAGAAAAGTTAGGATCAAAGAAAGTACAAGAGTCTTCTCTAGTATAGTTTCACTTTATAGAAAGATGTGATATTATGAATTATGATATTGTGATATGATTAATGAGAAAATAATATTCTTTTATATGTTAATATGTTATGTTAATTTTTTATACTAGATGGTTCCAATCTTTTCTTTTGAATTTTCTTCCTCTAATAGTTCCAACCTTTCTCTACCTTTTCCTTCATCACCTTCTCCTCTTGCGCTTCTTCCTTCCATTATTTCCTCAAGATCCAATGTTAATTTTTCATCATCTATTTCTTCTTCATCTCCTCCCCCTTCCCCAATGTAAATTAAATTAAAACAATCTGCAGCAACCCAAAGTGAAATAAAAAAAACAAACGACCACATGCAAATTATATTTGCTGTACGAACTACGCAGGCTGCTCGAACTATTGGTAAACGATAATCAAAAGAAGTTGGACAAAAGAATGGTATATCTTTCATTTCTTCTGATGTGTAATTTGTATATAAGACTTTTTTTTATATATATATTTTTTTTTGTATTAAATCAAGAAAAAAAATATTTGAAATTTTAGTGAAAAAATAACAACAGGCAGAAATGGAATGGATTGAATATCTTACCAGCCGTAAATATCCAAAGCAAAAGTAAAGGACTTTTCAAATATATATATATATATATATACATATGAATAAAATAAATAAATAAAAATTAAAAATTAAATCTTTCGGGGGAAAAAATAATAATAATACCTTGCATATTTATGGAATTCTCTTGTCAATGTTTTCAAAACTATACTAAAGCTTATAAATGTCAAATCGCATATCCCTTTTATAATTAAAATTGCTGAAAATTTATCATTACACGTACGTAATTAATAATATTTTTTTTATTACTAAAAATCGAAAAAAAAAATTTTAATTAAATAAAACAAACCTGGTAATATCATCGACACGACCAAGTATCTATACGAAATATGCACGCATTCACTTTCAATTTAATACAATGTTTTTTTTATTTTATTTTATTAATAAGAGAAATTATTTTTTTATACTCACAATATATCATATCCATTTAGTCTAAAATTAGTATTTATTGCTTCCAAGAAAATTATTATTTTTGCATATTCTATTATTCGATTCAAACAAACAAATCACGTGAAATTAAATGAAAGATCGTAAAACGTAATCAATGTGAAATTCTCTTTTCTTTTAACTTACGCAAACTTGGACACAAAAAAGTCAATATCAGTAATGGTATACCCAAGAATATTCTAACTGCATACGTTTTTTTGTTTTCTGAAGTTAATAATAATAATAATAGAAAAAATAATAATAAATAGAGATTATAAGTTATTTAGAAATATATATATATCTAATTTTTTTTTTTTTTTGAAACTCACGATTCATTGATTGATAACCAAATGCTGGGAGCATATTAAATATTGAAAATAAATAGTTTTTTTTGTTGAATTTGTAGTGAATGGATGAATAAATATAAATAAATAAAGAATGATTTTAAAAATGATCGTGGGGTTTAAAAAACTTCACCCCAATTTCACTTGAATTAATTTAAAAGAAAATTATTGTCAAAGAAAATTAAGAAATTATTTTCACAAAACACTTTTTCAAGAAAATTCCAGGAATATTACGTCATTCATTTAATGTCATATAATGTTCTTTGTATTTGTAAAAATTTATCGCGACTTTATTATTCGTTGCCTCAAAATATTTATTTTAAAATATATTAATCGAAGCAAACATATAAATTGAGCAAGCCAGCCTCAACCTAATTTTTTTAAAAAAATATAGTAGTTTAGTGTATTATTTTTAAATAAAAAAAAAAAAAGATTTGATGGTGAGGTGAAGAATATTTAATAATGTGAAAAGGTAGAATTTTTTTACCATTGCGTCTAAGCCTTGAACTTTTTTTGTACGCGCGAAGCCGAAAAATAACCATAGCCACAAAATCATACCATGCCCACAATAAACATCAAAAAATAAAAAAAAAAAATAAATTAATTTTTTTTTTTTTTTTTTTTTTTTTTTCATGACAATTATGATAATATGATAACTTTTATTCGTAACGTTAATAAGACATATATTTGTCGCGTCGATAATAACAATGGAAATGCTGTGTCATGTGGTATAATTACTCAAATGGAAGTATGTCAGGCGATCTGACAGAAAAGGAAAAGATTTATTTTTTTTGATAGAATAGAATAGATAGAATAGATTAGAGAATACCAAGGTGTAAAAAAAAATTTATTGATTTGCAAAGGAATAATGGGTAATCATCCTAGCAAAACATATGAAGCTCAATATTCAGAAATACTTTCCCATTTTTCAGAAGATGAAAAGACTGCGCTCTTGCAAAATTTCAATGAATTCAGTGAGCTATCTTTAGGCTCACAGAAACATGAAAAACCTGAAGTAACCCCCTTAAGCATCAAAGTAGGATTAGATTGAGTTTCCTTGCGCACTCTCTCTTAAATAATTAAGATTATCAATTAAATTTTATAATACATCTATATAATATGGGTGTTATTTCTAGAATCATTTACCTCCTATAATTGGAGAATTGCTTAAAGACGGATTTGTCATATATATTCAATCCCAATCAATATTTCACAAAAAAAAATCAGCACAGGAGAAGCAAGAAAAACTTTCCATTCAACTGAATAATTCAATTGTCATAACTAAGCTTGATTTTATATCTGCTATATATAATTTGATAAAAACTGCCCCAACAGATCAATCACAAGCAGCATTCATTATTGGACAGTTATCAACGAATACTTTAAGAACCTTTGTGGAAGAAGTTATTCGGCCGGCATTGGTATATTGGTTTGAAGGAAGTTATTTTAGAAAGAATGGTCAAAAAAATAAGAAGAAAGATTCATATTTTGATGATGATGCATCTTTAATCAATTATTTAATTTGTTTTCCCAAACTTAAATATGGAAAACCCGAAGATGATAATTTATTATCAAATATTATCAAAGAATCCGAAATAGAGGATTATTTTAATCAAGGCTCTTTTATGGATTGGTTTATCGCTAATATACCATATCAAAATTTATTCAATATTCTCTTGACTCGTTTATTTTTACATCGAACAATTTCACATTATTCTGAAGATGAAATTCTCAAATCAAGATTGTCTAATGTTATTTCTCCCCAAATTTTTTCAAATTATTCATTACCAAATTTTTCTCGACTTTTATCACCAGCAGATTATTATATGATAAATAGTAATTTACCACCTGATTGTAGAACGACTATTCATACATTATTATTTTCATCAGCTCGCGATGGTGAGAGTTGGCACGCTTTTATTAACTTATTACTTTATAAAGGTTCTACCATTCTCGTAATTAAGGATAAGAATGGTTATATCTTTGGAGGATTTTCTTATAAGGATTGGGAATTGAATCCTAAATTTTATGGTGATCGAAAGAATTTCTTATTTTCCTCGAGACCAAAATTAAGATTTTATCCGGTCTCGGGATATAATGATAATTTTCAATATTTGAATTTCGGAACTAAAACGTTACCAAATGGTTAGTACCGAAAACCTATTATTTTAATTTGATTATTTAATTTAATTCTGACCTGAACATTTGGTGTCAAAAAAAAAAAAAAAAAGGTTTAGGAATGGGTGGTCAATTTGATTATTGTGGATTGTGGATAGATTCAGATTTTAATCATGGACATTCTAAAGCAGCACTTCTTTCGACTACTTATAACAATCCACGATTATCTAAACAAGAGAATTTTCTAATAGAAGAAGTTGAAGGTATTATATCAATTATTTTCATTATAGATTCTTTGACAAATTTTCGATTTTCTTTTTTTTTATTAAAAATTTTTCTTTTTTTAAAAATAGTTTGGTTAGTTAAACCTACCACACGAGACCCTGATGATATTCCAACTGGTCCCAAGCATTCAGCTTTAGATCGTCATCCAGCAGAATTAGAACTTATAGAAATGGCAACTGATCGTAAAATGTATTCAAAAAATGTTCGTGAACCAGATGTTTTACCAGGGGATGATGATTTGGAGTGATTATATAAAATGATTACTCTTTCACATTAAAATTATTTATTATTTTTAATCTGTAAAAATGTATTTTATTTTTATTATTTATAATATTTTTAATACATATAATAAATTTCGCCAGGTGACAATAAATTAATGGTGAACTTAAAATTATTATACATAACTTCCCCAGAATGTACCACTATTACCACACAATAATAATTGAAAAACGTATCGCCCCTTAGGAGCCTACATACTGACGAAATTCAAAAAAGGAAATTTTAAGGGTTGTAAAAAAAATGTTATCAGGAATTATGATCACATGCCTTTCGTCACTTTTTATCTATATCATTATTCATTCATTGGCCAAGTCAATCTCTGTGGCAAAAGTTTCGTTTTTGAGAAAACACAACGATTATTTATAATATTATCCCCCAAAAAAAGGTGGTCTTGATATATTTGGATGTAGTAAAGATCAGTTGCGTCACACGTTATTGAGCCAATTAACCCATTTTAAAAATGATCAAAAACGAAACTTTCCTAATCGTTTGCACCGACTTTGAGTGGCACAAGCCACAAATTTGATTGGAATAAATACAAAATTTTTTGCACTTTATCTCACAATGCAAAAATTTAACGAAAACGTCTTTTCTTTTACCGGTTGAACATTTTCATTCAATTGTCTTAATTTCACAATTCATTATACCAAAAAGCCACCTTATACGCGTAAGGAATGCGACGAGTAGTACGAATATTACTTGTTGGAGACGGTAAGTCAAAATTGCTCCCGTCCCGACAAGTGTTTCAATTTTCTGCTTTTTATATTCATTGGTTGATTCAATTCTACAAATTATTTTATTAAGACGGCGTTGGGAAGAGCACTCTCATTACGTCGCTCATTAAGGAGACATTCGTCCCTAATGTAAGTAAATTTATTCTTAACACGCTATTTGTAATTTTTTTTAAAGGTAACAATGATCTTCAATGTTTAGATTCAACACGTCGTTCCCGAAGTTACAATTCCACCAGATGTCACACCAGAAAATGTTATTACACACATTGTAGATTCTTCAGGTAACTGAATTCGAATATTATAAACTCAAAAAATTCTTATTATACTCTTACTCTTAACACTTTTCTAATTTCTTATTTTGATTTAAATGTAATAAGCTCGTCCAGAAAATCGTGAACAATTAGAGAATGAGATTAGAAAGGCACATGTGATATGTATTGTCTACTCTGTAGACGATCAACATACGTTTAATCGGTTGGCTTCTTATTGGTTGCCATATATTAGAGGACTTGGGGTGAATGTGAGCAAAAGAGGGGAAATACCAAAAAAAGTTCGAATGCTTTATCAATGCTCTCCTCATTACACCTCAAAGTTTAATCTAGTCTAATATATATACAACACCATTTGGCGGAACGTTTAGGTCCCTGTCGTGCTAGTAGGAAACAAAATCGATCTTCGAGGGGATCAAGTCACTAATCAATCGTTGGAAGATGAAATAGTACCTATAATGAATGAGTTTAAGGTTAATAAAAAGTAGTAGTTTTTTTTTTATATATTAGATATTTTCTTAGACAATTATATTTATCGAGAGTTATATTTTTAGGAAGTAGAAACCTGTGTAGAATGTTCAGCAAAACACACATTAAATGTATCGGAAGTATTCTATTTTGCACAGAAAGCTGTACTTCATCCAACAGCACCTTTGTATGATTCAAGGGATCATGTATGTAAAATACGACTTTATTGACAGATTTATAATCGTTCATTATTATCCTTCCTTATATATATATATGGAAGTTTATTAAATTTATTGGAATTAGGTTTTGAAACCGGCTTGTATTGATGCTTTAAAAAGAATTTTTAATCTATGCGATATTGATAAAGATGGTGTGCTGAATGATGATGAATTAAATGAATTTCAGGTTTTTATGTTAAAGTAAATTTTTGATTTTATTAATTATCATAAATATTATTTACTTATTATTTATTTGATTTTCTTATAGCGTAAATGTTTTAATGCACCACTTCAACAACAAGAACTTGAAGGAGTCAAGGAAGTTGTAAAAGAACATGAACCTGCTGGTGTTAATGAAGTTGGATTGACTGAACTTGGTTTCTTATTTCTTCACACACTTTTCATACAAAGAGGTCGCCTGGAAACCACATGGACAGTTTTACGTAAATTTGGTTATGGTGATGATTTATCGTTACGAGAACATTTTCTTTATCCCCAGTCAGTATTTGAATAATTTCAATTTCATAAAATTAATTTAAAAATTCTTGAAAATTATACAAACATTAATAATTGTATTTAATGTTAATCAGATTTGACGTACCCCACGATTGCTCTGTAGAATTAAGTCCTAATGGATATCAATTTTTTACTGATATATTTCAAGTTTTTGATAAGGTAAATATAAAGAATTTTATCTTCCTATTTATTCATTTTCTTTTTAAGCTTGTCTAATTTCATCTAAATTGGAAAATATAAATACATAAAGGATAAAGATGGTGCATTGAAGGATAGCGAACTTGAACAATTGTTTAGCACGACAACAGGTAATCCATGGATAAATTCTGGATTCCCTCATACAACAATTACAAATGAAGCTGGAGCCGTAACATTACAAGGATGGTTAGCACAATGGAGGTATGAATAAAATATAAAATATTTTAGTATTTATAAAACAAAGTATATATATTTCATTAGTAGTTATAAGTCTAATATTTAGTTTCTTAAAAAAAAAAAATACGAACTTGTTGCGATGAAACCCGATTAGCATGACAACATTGCTCGATTATAGGACAACATTATCTTATTTAGCTTATTTGGGATTTGAGGGTGATACCACAACAGCGTTGAAAAAAACAAAGCCAAGGAAGGCGGATAGAAAACGAAATAAAGTTCAAAGAAATGTTTTCCTGGCTTACGTTTTTGGAGCTGCGGGATCTGGTAAGGTAAGTGGTGCTTGTTAAAGATTAATTATATATTGATTTAAATATAACTTAGAATTAATTAACTAGAATTTTTTTATTTTTATTTTCATATAAAGTCATCACTATTACGAGCATTTGTTAACAAACCCTTTACAGAAGGATATACACCTACCTCAAGATCATTTAGTGTTGTAAATTCGGTCGAGATAAAAGGGGCAGAAAAATATTTAGTGGTATGTTAGAATGTGGATAGATATTATGATCATGCGCAAAAGTGAACTTTCTCAATACACAAATATATCAATTTTATAGCTTCAAGAATTTGGTTCTAAATATGAAGCTGAAATACTTCAAAACAAACGTAAATTGGAAGCATGTGATTTGATATGTTTCGTATATGATTCAAGTGATGCGAATTCTTTTTCTTATATCGTTGACCTTCGGGTAAATACATTTTATTTTCATATTTGACATTTTATTTAACATTTGAAAGATTATTAATGACAGGATTTTTTATACTTAGAAACGACACAATTTAGATAATTTTCCTACAGTATTTGTCGCTACAAAGAGTGATTCGGATTTGGTACAACAGGTATGGGTTTTAAAACCAATATATATGAGATTAGATAATTTTATTAAATAGCTTCCCATGTGATATTTATACCTTTTTATTACTTAGCGATATGAAGTTCAACCAGATGTATATTGTCGAAATCTTGGTCTCGCTGTTCCTCTCAGTGTGTCTGTTAAAAAACAACAAACCGCAGATCTATGGAATCTTTTGACAGGGGTATCTATAAACCCTGCCATAGCCACCCCAGGATCAGAGGATTCAGCAGATGGTGCTTCAAAATTTAAAAGATATTTAACATTCACGGCAGTGATGGGAGCAATAGTAGGTGCCGCATTTATGGGATATAGGTTATTCCAACAACAACGGGGATTTGGAAGTATAACAAAACGAGAAATACTATAGAAAACTAATTTTTTTATAGTGTGCGAGGTTTGACAAAAAAAAAAAAAAAGAAATATGGAGTATTCGTAAAATGGATATTATATTTCTTACGAAATCGTGTGGTATGTGCCTTTATAGGGTACTTTTCACCACCAAGAAGATAGAGAACTTTTGCCAGAACATTTTTTAAAAAAATCAGTATCAAAAAGAATCAAATGGAATTTGATAAATTGTAATTTTTAAAAAATTTATAAAATTAATCAACTCAATTTTAAGGAGTTTTTTTTTTTTTTGATATTGTGAGCAGAAATGTCACTAGTGATCCATCACAATAATAATTTTATTATAATAGTGCTAACGAAGACGCCTGGCTTCACGTTCAGATTCCAAGAGACATAGAATATCGTTTTCACGAACGGGACCTTTAACGTTACGAATAATTGAGCGGGAAGCATCGTCCATGAATTCTACTCTAACTTGAGTAACACCACCACGAGAACCGGTGCGACCAAGTACTTTGGTAACTTTTGCGAGTTTAACTGGTTGTTTGGCATCCTAAAATTTAAATTCATTAAAAATACCACCCAATCGAAAAAAATCGAAAAATAAAAAAACTGTAATTGATATATCTACCATATTTGAGAATGGATTTATGATTTATGACAACGTATATTTGAAAAAAAAAATTTTTATACGCTATATATTATATATTTATAATGAGGAGCCAATCATAAATCTATAAATGTCACTTCCTTAAATATGATTGGCTCAATAATGAAAAAATTTATTAATTTCTTCCCGATGGTAGAAAGTATCTTACCCAATGCAACATTATATAATTAGAAATTTTCTAACATAGCGTATTGTGGTAACAATGGAGCTATGATCCTGCTTTATAGATATAAGAATATTCTTACTTCATAACCAAAAAAAAATACGACTCTATTTGGGCGAATTGATATGTAGTATATATATTTACAATAAATCCTAGAGAATTAATAATGAACGATCAGTTATTTCACATAAATTATGTATTTAAAAAAATTTAACACGAATGGTCAGCTCTTCAAGCCAAGATTTCAACGATTACATAATCTATATTATCCTGACTCAAGTTTGAAATAGTTAATACAGAAAATGTTTTTATGCCTCTTATTTTTCTTTACCAATAATAGATACGAGAGCATCCTCCCAATGCATCATTAGTAACATCAAAATTTTTGCGACTATTAGTATATAATTGTAAAACGGTTACAATAAAAATCACAGCAGACGAATAATGTTCTAAATCTTTTGAGCCTTATAACTAGATTCTCAAAGTACTCTAAAAAATAATGGACTTTATGAAAAATTTACCGATATATTTGCATAAACGCATTTATTACAAAATTAAAAACTGGGGTAAAATTTCTTCATTTTCTTATAAACTTCCGAACTATTGCCTGTTGTTTCTGATTCCCCAGACCAAAAATCATATTACCCTTTATGTACAAGGTATAGTACAATTTAACATTTGGTATGCTTAATGACTAGTGCTGTCCCAGAACACTCATTTTTACTCTACTTACATCAGGAAATTTTTGGAGGGAATGTATCCAGATATATTTAACCACTTACACATTTATCCACATAAATCACATTAATTCATATTAATCTACATTAATTCACATTAATTCATATATTATGCTGAATATATTTAGATAAATTTGTGAATATATCCAAATATAATCTGTTTTTACTAATTGTGAATAAATCCACATATATTTGCCCTTAAAAATTTCCTGATGTAGCTTTGGTTTTTCATCAGTTCAGATCAGACAATTCTCAAGTTTCTAATAGTTTAAGTTCTTATAATTAAATAATATCCAAACAGTTCTCTGATTTATTTTCTTAATAAATATTATTTCTTTTATCATTCTTATATATTTATCTTTTATTATTTATTATTATATATCTTATTCATTTCTTATATTTCTTGTATTTATTTTAATAAGTTAATATTAAAATAAAGTTATCATATAATTTATTGACTTTGAATCTTTTATATATATACCTTACTAAGTTACAAATTAACTTGATATTGTAAAAACCCTTTCACAATAAAATACTTACTCCTAAGTTAACCCTCTTTCTTAATTTTATAATTTATTATAATTAATCAAGTAAGATCATTGGAAATAACATGATAATTATATAATCTTTTATTAATTTTTATTAAAGAAGATTCTCTATCCTTCAGAACATTGTCACATTAGATATGCAATACTAATTATTTCTAGTCTTTATCAAGTATAAATATATATACAGCAACAGTTCTAGATAAAATATATTATTTAGATTTGGAATTATTTTATTATCAAATAGAATTTACTCAAGTACTCTTTTATAAATAAAATAATTCATTAGTTAGTGAAATAGATTGTAAACTTTTAAAAATTCCATGATTCCAAGAGTCAAAAATATTTACTAATGGGTTTCAATTAATTTTCAAAAAAAAAAATAAAATGCTAATGGAAGTAATAATATTTGTAATAGATAACTTATATAAAGAAAATAAAAATAATGTTAAAGGTTTTGTTAAAAATAAAAAATTATTGGAAGTATATGTAAAATGGAATAAAATTTTTAATTTTAAATATATAGTGTTTTTAAGTCCAAGTTAAATTGAATTAAACCAGACTAGAGGTGCAATTCAGATCGATCTGTGTGATCTGTAATCTGTGTTATTATCAAATTTTCAATCTGTAATCCGTTATATAGTCAATTCGATCAATTCGTGAATTATCTGTGAATTGGACGAATTGATCTATAGATTATGCAGATCATCCATCCAATCTGTGGATCATGCGTCCAATCTGCGAATCATCCATCAATCCGTAGATTATTCGTCCAATCTGTGAATTATTTTTTTTTCCGTAGATAATAACATCAGGAAATTTTTAATAACAAATATATCTGGATATATTTGATCACTTACGCATTTATCCACATTAAATATTCGAATTTATCCAGTGTTGACCCTATTTCTTTATTTTTTATATTTATATATATTTTTATTATAACATATTTTATTATTATTATTTTATTATTATATTAGTAT